AGAAAAAATGTGACATTTCTATCTTAAACTCCGAACAGAGTAAATACATAGTTCGACAACTTGTTAAGTTTTATCATGTTTATTTGTGTGTTTTACCATCTGTGATGTTAAAAAATATATATATTTTCAATGTGCACATACTCATGCCATGGATTAATAATGTTTTAGAATGTTTTGATGCGAGTTCAGGGCTTTAAATATCCTTTTTTTTCTATATGGAAAACAATGGATACATCCCCGAAGACGAACCAGATTCCCCAATCGATCACCATTCGCGTCTAAGAAACCAAGTATGGAACATTCCCAGAAATTTCCTAAATTACAATCAATCATCAATTATCGGTTATGGTCGTTTTGGAAATGTTGTCAGTGGATCCCTCAGACGAGATGGGGAAGAAGTCAATGTTGCCGTCCAGTGTATAGGATGGTGAAACTGGAAAACTACCTTAGAAAGCTGCTGTACTAACAAACAACTCACTGTGATAGAAAAATACTAACCAACAAACCATGGACGATATTACTCGATATAACAATAAGTTTAGCAATTAAGTTTTTAATCCACCCTTTATCCCAGATGGAGAACTCGATCAGTCTAACAAAAGATCAATGCTAAGAGATCTGGATCTTTTGATCCGTCTCGGATCTCATACGAACATTGATAGTTTGATAGGAATTTGTGAGACTCCAGATCACTTGGCAGTAGTCCTTTATCATCATCTTTTGACTCTGAAAGACGCTTTGCTGCTTTCGAGGAACAAAAATAACAAAAATCAAACCTTTTGCAATTATAAGGAGTCGCAGGTTTTGCAATTTGCGGTGGACGTCGCTTGGGGGATGGAATATTTGACCAGCAAATCGGTAAGGATAAAGGAAATAGATAAAATATGCTTTGATAATGTATTTCTTTGAATTTTTTTATAGATTTATCACAAGCAATTATGTTGTCGGAACATCAAGCTCTCTGGTAATGGTGTTGCCAAAGTATCAGGTTTTGGTTTAGCCGATTGTAGAGCTAACCAGAATTCTAAACCTGATTACAGAAGATGGACAGCCCAGGAGGTCTTGAGGTCTCAAAGATATTCAGAAAAAAGTGATATTTGGTCTTTTGGATGTGTTCTTTGGGAATGCTGTGCTTTAGGTAAGTAGATAGAAGTATTGTCTTATACAGTAGAACTCCAATCATCCGAACTCCAATCATCCGAACTCCGATTATCCGATTCGCCGATTATCCGAATCACTTTCAGAAAAAAATTGTCCAAAAAAAGTCTAAGTGCGCTATTATTCTTCCACCAGCAAAGCCAGTGCAGGCACATTGTTTGTTTTGATTTGACGGAGATGTTCACAAAACAATGATTTTTATTTCTAAACTTGTACATAAGTACATTTTATTTATATTTAAAACATGTGAAAATGTCATGTTTCTTTCATTTAATTCAATAAAAAAAAAATAGTGCAATATCAAAACGTAACTTTTTTTCTCTCCAATGGCAATTTTTTAAAAAAAAACCGAATATTTGATTATTCGAATCGGTCCCGGCCCCAATTCGGATAATTGGAGTTCTACTGTATATTGGTTTTCTAGTATTATTGTATTACTCAGAAATTTTATTTATTTTATTTATTAATTTTATTTTTATTATTATTTGCTTTTATTTTATATTAAATCATCATACTACGGATATCATTTTAATGTAAATACTATCCTTTATTTTGTACTCTTTTTATTTAAATTTTTGTTATTTTTTATTATTATTACTAGATGTTAAATTATTTAGCAGTTGTAATAAATATTGTAATTAGAAAAAAATATTATATATAAAAATTCCATATCACAAAGTTCGTTCCCGTACACCTCCAAAACGGCTTTACCGATTTTTACCAAATTTTATATGCTTATTCAGTAGGTCTGAGAATTGGCTACTATCTATTTTTATACCCCTAATTGATAAGGGTTGTTCACCCTTAAATTTTTTTTGTAATTTTTGGACGGAAATTTTTGTTTTTATTTTTGTAGCATTGAAAATATATGCAGCTTCATTTCTTTTATAACCAACCCTTAAATTTTGCCAGTAATAACGTCATTTTTTATATATTTTCGACATAGTTTTAATTCAAATGTTTAAGCTTGAAAAAAAGTTTATATTGAACTTTAAAATGTTATTATTATTAAGGGTTGTCCAATCCTAATACATTTTTTTATATTTTTGGGTCAATTTTGTTAATGCGGAATTGACAAAATATATACAACTCTTTTTACTTCAAAAAACTATTTTTTATTCAAAGGTTTGTTCACACCTATTTTTTTATCAACTTTGGAATCAATTATATTTTAATTTTAATTTGACCAATTATATTAATTTTAATTTTAGTTAAGATTTTTACATTAAAAAACAACATCGACATTAAAAAACAACCCTAATACTTTTTTTCAAATTTTGGTGTCTATTTTATTTATTTTAATTATTTTAATGTCGAATTAAAAGATACTTCAGATTAAGTTGGCCCTTGCAATTACTATGAATTTACTCTGGAATTCATTGCAGTGGGTAAACCATCCATATAAATTGTGATTTTTTTCGTTGGCTCATCAGTAGAGTCATATTTTGTTAGATCAAAATCAAGTTTGCTCGCCAGTAGTCTCTTTTTCAATTTTTTGGGTTAAAATTAAAGTTTTCTAATCTTGTAGATCAAAATTTAGTTTGCTTGCCAGTAGAATTTATTTTTAAATTTTCTGTATAAAAATCAATTTTGCTCGTCAGTAGAGTCCTTTTTTTAATCTTTTAGATCAAAATTAAGCATGCTCGTCAGTAGAGTCCCTTTTTGTTTTAATTTGCTCCTCAGTAGTCTTTTTTCAATATGGATTAAAATTAAAGTTTGCTTGTCAGTGTAGTCTCATTAAATTTTCTGAATTAATTAAGTTTGCTTGTCAGTAGAGTCTCTTTTTCAATTTTCTGTATTGTAATTAAAGTTTGCTTGTCAGTAGAGTCCTTTTTTAATCTTTTAGATCAAAATTAAGCTTGCTCGTCAGTAGAGTTTCTTTATGTTTTAATTTGCATCTCAGTAGAGTCTTTTTTCAATCTGGATTTAAATCAAAGTTAGTTTGCTTGTCAGTAGAGTCTCTTTTTTATTTAGTTCTTTCTTAATCTTCTTGATCAAAATTTAGTTTGCTCGTCAGTAGAGCCTTTTATTAAATCTTCTGGATCAAAATTAAAGTTTGCCCATCAGTAGAGTCTCTTTTTCAATTTATTTTGCTTGTCAGAAGAGCTCTCTTTTAGTTTTTGGATCAAAATTAAAGTTTGCTAGGCAGTAGAGTTGCTCATTTTAATCTTCTAGATCAAAATTAAGTTTGCGCGTCAGTAGAGTCCTTTTTTAAATTTCTGAATTAAAATTAAAGTTTCCCCATCAGTAGAGACCCTTTTTTGTTTCTTTTCGCTCATCAGTAGAGTCTATTTTTGTTTCATTTTGCTCGTCAGTAGAGTCCTTTTTTAATATTCGACATTAAAATTTAGTTGTCAGTAGAGTCCCTTTCTTGTCACTAGTCCCTCTTTATCTTCTAGATCAAAATTAAGTTTGCTCATCAGTAGATTTCCTCTCTTAAATCTTTTGGATCAAAATTTAAATTTGTTTGTAGTAGACTTCTTTTTTGCTGTTACATTACATACTTGCACATTCACAATCAATTAGTTATTTTTGAAATTAAAAAAATGGCTGAAGAACGGATACCGGGCCAACTAGTATATATATATAATCATTAAAAGAAAAAAGAAAATTATGATACACTAATTAATATAACAACAAGTTATATGATAATAATTATTTAATAAATATTAATTTAAAAAAAAAACTAGTGGGGTGTATGGCATCGTGCCTTAAGGCAAATTGCTGGAACTTCCCGTACCGTAACGAAATGTTCGAGGAATACTGAATGTTTTCAAATAGAGTATTATAAATAAATATTTGTAACATTGTCTAATATTTATAAGATTATATAAATATCTGATAAAAGTATATATATAAATCTAAACAAGTTATATTAGAACTTTAAATCGGACGCTTAGTTCTCTAAAAACTGCAATTTTTTACATATTTAGCTCCGTATCTTCGAAATGGCTGGGCCTGCCTTTTCCAAAAACTAATAAACACTTCTACCAATCATTACTAATTGAATGTTTTTAGATCATTCAAATCGGGTACTCCGTTCTCTCAAAAAGTCGATTTCTATTCTCTGCACTCTTTGCTCTTTATCTCCGTAACTGCTGGATCTGCCTTTGCCAAAAACTAATCAGTACATCTTCCTATCGAAAGGAATCGAATGTTTTTTGAACCATTCAAATCGGTTGATCCGTGCGCCCGAAAACGTGGACGAAAAATTGTATCCACACATACATACACACACACACACACACACATACACACATCCATTTTTTCTGAGGTATGCCAAAACGTTCAGAAACCTTCAAAACGTCGAGAAAAGTAAAAATTTTGAATTTCGATTTTTGGCCCATTACAATAACTTACCCTACGGGAAGTTAATAAATAAATTAAAAGATTTAATCAAGCTCTTCTCATCGAGACATGTTATTTGTTTACCAAGTCATTATATATATATATATATATATATATATATATATATACAATTATCCTTTATCCTTCATCCTTTATTTCAGGGGGCACACCCTATGCAAATATAGAAAGTGCAGACATAGTAAACAAAGTCTCAAGAGGCCTACGACCCCCTCAACTTGTATATATGAACGACGAGCTTTACCAGCACGCCTTAAATTGCTGGCAATTAGACCCAGACGAAAGGCCAACATTCTCCCAAATCGCCCAAGAATTGGAATCCCTTCTTATAATTCCACATTTCAGTTTCATGCTGTACGAAGGATTCGAATACGAGCCATATTTGTCCGAATTGGAAGCAGTAAAAGATTGATGGTAGTAATAAGAGTGAGTCTTTTATTATTGTATATTTTTTACATGTTTATCTGTAAGTTTTATTATTAATAGGTGTATTTTTAGTTTCATATGACTTTATTAATGTTGTGTTTAAAATTAATCCGTCCAATGATAATATATACTCAAGTCAAGTCAAGGTTTTTTTTTTAATTTAAATTTATTTACAATATCGATCTGCTTTCATTTGCTCCGGCGATCCAGCATTGTTTCGTGTAGTATTCCTTCCTTTTGGCTTTCTTTAATTCCTTTTTGTCCTCGGAGCTGATTTTGATTTTCTTGTCTTGGAATTTTTGGAATTTTTTCCTATAAAAGGAAAAAAATATTGCTGTATATATATATATATATATATATATATATATATATATAATTCATTTACTTACACATAATTCAGTTCCACCTCCTTCAAATTCCTTTCTCCTCACTCGGCACTCAATCTGCTCCTCATTCTCCCTCTCGTTCATAGTCCTTATAACAACGTACTCATCAGCACTAGCCTTCTTGCTCAAAGCAACGATAGCATCGTCTTCAGGATCAACAGCAACAAAGTTATTCCTGGGCCCCAACAGAGCAGTTTTACCGTCTTCAAAAATAGGTTCAAACTGCTCCATAGCACCCACGGCATCAGATCGACCGATAACTATCCCATTTTTATCCACAGATAAGTATTTACCGTAGCCTGATTTTAAGGCTATTTTATTTTCATTTATGGTGATTGCTGTGAAGATTTCTTCGGGTTCTGGAGGGTCGCCCTCGTCGTGGGGGGCGCCTAGAGTGAATAAACCGTTGTCTAGGGCTTTCATGTAGGTTTGTTTGCCGAATTCGAGGGCTACGTTGCCTGTTATCTCGGTTATGACGCTGGTTTTCCACCAGCCACCGTGGCTGATGGCATCTGGGTCTTCACGGATAACTGTTATCTTTTCTTTGGTTTTGGAGTGCTTGCGTTTCTTGGACCTGGGGGGTAAGAGACATATGGAAAAGGTAATAACAAATATATATATATATATATATATATATATATTGAATGAATTTGAAGTACTTACTTAGATTTCTCACCCTTCAGCACAAGCTTGCCTTTCCTAACTTTATCATATTCTGACATGTTTAAAAGAAAATAATATTTCTATATATAAAATTACTACTTGGCATAAATTAAAATCCTTGTAAAACTAGGTTTTTAAGTAAATACTTAAACATTTACACGAATATTTAATTAAAATGCTAAGCGTTTATATTGTGTATATATTAACCTGTCAAACGTCAAAAGCCAAACATAACCTCCAAAAGTTTACGAAAAAGTAAATTATAAATGCAAATTTCTTGCAAATTATGTATTTAATTGAAAAATGTCATTTTGAAAATGAACTTTTATTAAATTTCTGTTCTCACTACGTATTTAAACAAATAGATAAATATTCTTTCTTAGTAAAATGCCATACTTTAATTTTTGACAGCTGTCGCCATTTTTATTATATTGTCAAAGGCTGTTAACTGTCAACTGTCAACATAACCAGAAATTTCAAATAAATGATATAAAATTATAAATTTAGATAAAAAAATGTTATGTAATAAATAAATGTTCACTATTCTCAATTAGTTATAAATAATAATAAGTGGTAAACATTTTTGTAATATGTAAATCTTTGAAAATTTTAAAATTGAATGATGAATAGAAATATTTTATATAAACCTAAATTATTTTCATTATTATTTATTAAATTTAATATTATGATATTAAAATTTCTTATAAAACAGTGTATTTAAATAAATACATTTTAAATTTAAATTATTAAAAGTTAAATTTTAAATTTTTGACAGTTGCTAACTTCAGGTGTTAAGTGTCAACTGTCAAACATAACTTGAAATTTCAAATTAATGTTGTAAAATTATAAATTTTGATTAAAAAATGCCATCTACTAATAAATTTCACCGTTATTATTATCAATTATTAATAATAATATTATTATAATTAATTTATTATAAGTAATAAGTGATAGACAGTACTGTGAATCTTTAAAAAAATTAAAACTGCTTGACGACTAAATACATTTTATATAAATTTGAGTTATTTACACTATTATCTACTATTTATCAAATTTAATATCTCTTTACTTATTTATTTATTTAAATAAATTCAAAACTATTTAAATTATTAAAAATTAAATTTCAAATTTTTGACAGTTGCTAACTTCGTGTTGACAGCCTTCTGTCAAACATAACCTATAATGTGCTAGCATTGTTATTGCCTTTGTGTTTTTTTGTAATTTATTTGCAAAATCTCATTTAGTAGATAAGTTTGCATTGTTATCGTTATGCTTTATCAAATATAGATAACGATAAGTGATAGATAATACTGTGATATTATTATGTTAGTGTTTAATCATTTTAAATCCGCATGACGACATTTTATTTGAATCAGTTTTAAAATTATTGTTGTTATTTACTAATTGTTACCGTTGTTGTTAATTATCAAAATGGATATTTCTCCTGAAACGTTGACGGAAATGATAGAAGGTAACGTTATTTTATTTTATTTATATTATTTCACCTACATTATATATGTAATTTTTTGTAGGTCTATCATTATATTTGAATAGAAGAGAGTGCCAGTTGGGGGAATTGTGTGGCAGTATCGATCCTCAGCATTTTGAAGAGTACAGACATAGTCATCGTAAGTATTAAAATATTTACTTTCATTAGATTTAATTCAATGATGATATTTATAACTTTGTTACATATCCTTGTAACAAAGTAAAATACTGGTTTTAGTCAATCCTTTATCTTTTAGTGGACGCTATAATAAGAGATTATCAAGACACAAATGAAATAAACATTCCAATATACCTTCGAGCACGCTATGATATAATATTGGCGCAGATAACTTTGCTAAGAGATATAACTCAGAGAGACAGAAATGCTTCTGAATTAAATAAAAGAAGTCCTTTGGAAAAATTGGAAGCTGCTTGGCCTTATAACTTCTTTTTATCTTGCACGATTTCCAATAAACTTGCTAAAAATGAGAGTTTGAGCATCAGCCTCCTTGGTAATAATAATATACACATAGTAATTGATATAAATATATATACATATATATATATATATATATATATATATATATATATATATGTTCTTCAAGGGCATATATCAAATAAAAGGCAAAGATTTAGAAGTTAATCTTTAATTTTTTTCCAAACGTTTCGACATAGGATTTTATGTCATCATCAGTGGATCTACAGAATGAACATTGAAAAATTAATATAAACTAGGAAAAAATGACAGAAATTGGAAAAAGAACTATGGATATAAGTAATATAATTATAACAATAACAATTATACTTAACAGAAAGATAAACAAGAAAAATGAAAAGTAAAAAGAAATATATATAAACATACAAGAGTGTAATATATATACATAAATATACACACAAACAAACATATATATATATATATATATATGATATACATGTACAACCATGTACACATAAACATATATACATGCAACTAATACGTATATATCGATATATACATACGGACATGCACAAATGTATATATATATATATATATATATATATATATATATATATATATACACACACACATACACATACACACACACACACATATATATATATATATATATATATATATACAATACAGACATACACATATATAGACAACGAAGCTAACTTACATAAATATGGTCTTACATCAGTAGTATATTACATCAGCGTATGGCACATAATTTTTGCACTATCATATATACACTAACTTGTTTTTTTGTTTTGTTGAACAGAGCAAGTCGGGTAGGTATTTAAATTTTTATTCCTATCACCCATCTAGCATGAAAATAGGTACTATAATTAATTTAGTTGACCACGCCTTATTTCTCTCGGACAAACAATTTTGGTCTGCTAATTTATCGTTAATCCAAACAACACTTATTAATAATTCTTATCCTTCTAATCTCATAAACTCTGTCACGAACAATAGACTCAAATTTTTCAATAATAACATTAATATCTCTTCTTCTTCAACCAAAATCTCCAAAGACAATAACATTATTGGCAATGTTTGTCTCCCGTTTATTAAAGAACTCTTTCCCATTTGGAAAAAAACTGTTTCACAAGGTCGACTCAAGATTAATTTGTAACATAGACTTAACCCTTAGCTCTCTTTTTTCCAACCTCAAATCACCCACTTGTTTAGAACGCACATCTAATATTGTCTATAAATTAAAATGCAATGATTGCGATTCTATTTACATAGGTGAAACTGGACAGAATTTAATAAAACGACTAAAGCAACATGACAATAACTCAAAAAATCCTCGACAAAATCAAACCATGATAACAGAGCATATAAAAAATTTTAAACATTCTTTTAACTTTTACAATGCTAGTATACTTTATCACGAGCGGAACATTATTCAGAGAAGGTTTGCTGAGACCTGCCTAAATAGTATCAACAGCTCTTGCATTAATAAAAGGTGTGATGCTTAATAATATTTCCAAATTTGTTTCCTCTTAACCAGCGTAATTCCGAACCTGTAAACCTACCCTTACGCGGTCCGATTCTGAACTTTGATTCTTAGCCTCTCACCCATACTTCGAAACACTGATTGTAAAAAAACCCGCCAACTATTCCTTCAAACGGTCCCTTCAAATAATTTTTAAACACATGTGTTAATACAGCCTCGGGCTTGGTCACATAAACTACTTCTCCGTGCAAAATATATTATATATTTCACAAATATTTTGCTATGCTCTGTTCAACAAAAACAAAAAAAAACAAGTTAGTGTATATATGATAGTGCAAAAATTATGTGCCATACGCTGATGTAATATACTACTGATGTAAGACCATATTTATGTAAGTTAGCTTCGTTGTCTATATATGTGTATGTCTGTATTGTATATATATATATATATATATATATATATATATATGTGGTGTGTGTGTGTGTGTGTGTGTGTGTGTGTGTGTGTGTGTGTATATATATTACACTCTTGTATGTTTATATATATTTCTTTTTACTTTTCATTTCTCTTGTTTATCTTTCTGTTAATATAATTGTTATTGTTATAATTATATTACTTCTATCCATAGTTCTTTTTCCAATTTCTGTCATTTTTTCCTAGTTTATATTAATTTTTCAATGTTCATTCTGTAGATCCACTGATGATGACATAAAATCTTATGTCGAAACGTTTGGAAAAAAATTAAAGATTAACTTCTAAATCTTTGCCTTTTATTTGATGTATGCCCTTGAAGAACTTACTCATATTTCTCAACATCAAAACCAACTTCTTTAACATATAGATATATATATATATATATATATATATATGTGTGTGTGTGTGTGCATTTATATGTATATTATTTTTTACTAGAGTTATTGGACAAAAGCTTGGGCACAATTGAAAAATCTGCCCAAATCAATTTCTGTGTTGACTTGCCTTGGTTATTAGACCATTATAAAGCAGCCCAAGCATAGTAAGTATTTTTTATATATCTCTAATCTTTAACAATATATTCAGTTTATTTATTTATTTTTTTTTCATAAGTGGAACGCCTCTGCTGCTTATTTATGGTGCTGAAGATATAGGAATTGAAACCACAAAACTCCACAAATTTTCTTTTTTGACTGCCTGTTATGTTAAACCAGAAGGCATTGGTCTTAACCATTCGTAAATAACTTTTGTATAATTTGTTTATCATATAAGTACTATTATTCTATGTTACTAATTTGTTGTAGAAAAATATCTCTATTTGCTTACGATGATGGTTCTATGAGAGTTGTTATTTCAACTGCAAATTTGATTGCAATTGATTGGGATGATAACACCCAAGGGTAAATATATTTATATATATATATATATATATATATATATATATATATATTACAACATCAATTATTGAATTGTTTTTAATGTTATTAAGTTTGTAGTCTGTGGATAAGTCCTAAACTACCACGATTGAAAAATAAAGAAAACAAAAATTCAGGAGAAAGTCCTACTGGTTTTAGACAAGACTTGATTGATTATCTAAGTTGCTATAAAGTTTCAGAACTTAATTATTGGATAAATCGGCTTCAAAACTCAGACTGCAGTAGTGTGAAGTAAGTGTAATACATATTTATTTATTTATTTATTTATTTATTCAAATATATAGCCCACAGATTACTCCAAGTGGACTCAAAAAACAGTTATTTTACATGATGAATAACAATTAAAATATATACAAAATTACAATATATAGTTATTAACATAAAACGCTTACATAAAATTACATATAATGCAGAATGTAACAATATTATTTATAAACAGAATAAGATAAAATAATGAGATATTTGAAAAGAAAATAAAAAGCAGGTTAACTTGTGCAGATGGAGATTATTTGATTAGGTGAAGCGTTGTGAATATCTATTTCATTATTAATTAAGTTAAAGTTAGAGGACATAAGTAAAATAGGCGAATTAAAGAGAGAATTAGTTTTATTGAAAAATAATTGTGAACATTAAAGGATAGTTGGTTAAGAATAAGAGGACAGTCTATAGAATTATTGCAAAGTTTAAATAAGAACATAATTGTACAGATAAATCGACGTGAGGCAAGGGAAGGAATACCAAATTCTTTTAGTAAAGTGTTGTGGTCAAAGCCACGTTCAGGGTAAATTTTATATGTTTTATAATAAAGGTATTTCAGAAATTTTCGCTGAACCTTCTCTATCGCATCAGAGTTGTTGATTTGATGAGGTTACCAAATAATCAAACCATATTCTAATTTTGAACGTACAATAGAATAGTACATGCAAATGAGCGCATTGGTAGATTTAAATTGTTTACAATTTCTCAGTATCAAACCTAAAGATTTGTGTGCTCTATTACAAATATCAGTTATATGTTCCGTGAAAAACAAACCAGAATCAAATAGAACTCCTAAATCTGAAATTCTATTACATCTATCAATGCTGGTGTTAGAAATTTTTATAATCAAAAAGTATTGGAACGCGCTTATGTGAAAACCTGAGAATCTTGCACTTTGATATACTTAAATGTAATTTATTATAGATACATACATACATATCTTCATTTTTTGCAAAGATATCTTTTTTTGCTGATCCAATCGGCATTTTGTAAGATTTATTTCACATCTATCCACCATGATTTTGGAATAGCTATTATTGAATACGTTTTATACATTTCTGAACTATATTTCAGCGTATGTCTTGTATATTCAATACCTGGAGTACGTACTGCAAACGATACACGTTATGGTCATTTAAGACTTGGAAAATTATTATCGAAACATGTTGAAAATGCAAAGTCGACGGATACAATAGTTGCGCAAAGTCCCAGTGTTGGAAAATTTGGACCCACACCAAACGTATGTAATAATAATAATAAATATATATATATATATATATATATATATATATATATATATATATTATTCTTATTATAGGATTGGGCTGGTGGTGAATTTCTCACTAGTGCTTCAGCATGTAGACAAGCTGATGGTGAAAAAGTACATCAGGATAGAAATAGGCCTGATAAGCCTGATTTTAGGTTCGTTTTTGCGACTGAAGAAAACGTAAAGAACGGCTATGGTGGTTTCGAATTTGCTTGTCGCTTTACTATGTGCAAGTACGAGATGTATATTGAGCAGAAGTGGATACAAAATATATTGTGGTAAGATAATAGATTATTTATATAATTAATTATTTATTTTTGGGTCATTGCACGGGACACCAGAATTCATTTTAGAGGTATAGTTTCTTCAGCAAAGTATCTTATTTTGATCCCTAGTATCTCAAAATCATGTGTGCCTAAGCGACATTTTTTGACCCATACAAATCGACTCGCTCTAATATATATATATACTAGCATACCCAGCCTCGCGTTGCGACGGCCCTCATTAAAATCCCTTAATATTTTCTTTGAAGTTTTTCCGTAAATTTAAGATTAGACACTCACCGATTTTGATCTTTTTTTTTAAATTTGTTATTACTTACGAATCACATATAAAATAAATTTATGACTATAAATTGATATTCATACTATCCCTGAAACTAATCTGGATAAAGTTCTGAGGAATCCCAGTCCAAAAATATTAAATGATTGATTTTTGGCACTTTTATTAAATTTTTATCAATTTTCGTACTGCAAAATAATGGATGATTATTTATCAAAATTGTATTATTTATACTATAATTTTAGATGTATACTATCTATTTTGGCATTGAATCATTTTCATTGGAATCAAGTGAAACAAATATATTTCATTGATATTTTTCCAAAGATATCCGATTTATGACATTGTTTTCAATTATTTTTAATTTATTTTGAATTAGCAAATGTCAAAAAATATAATTAAAATATGCACTAAATATTGTCTATGAATAATATATCATTTTATGAGTATTATTTATTACTTTGGTGCTTGATATGGATATGAATTTGTGATAAAATATATTTTTTCTGACAAATAGTTAAAAACTTGTTATAATTTTCAAAATTATTTGACATGTCATACTTCCAAAATTAATTCACTCGCATCATGGATTAGTCTAAATCAACGCAGTATCATTATCTAAAGATACAATTTTTTATATAAATATTAGACTTTTTACATCATATATCCAATATGCACTAAATTTATAAATGTCAAAATATTTCCTTTTTGGTCGAAAATGATAGTATTTATTGTCAAATAATGTTTTGTATCTATAATTTGTTTGGCAATATTGCCTATAACATAACTTCGAATAATTAATTTATTTGTTTCTTATATTTTTTTTTTGAAATGTCAAAATTTTGTTTATGATTAATTTTAAATTCAATATGCCGCTTTTTTATTGTGATCTCTGATCTATAAGATTTTGATTAGGTTTTGGTATCCGAAATAATTTGGTAAGCTAATCAATTAAATCTAAATCGTAAATCTATTTATATAATTATTTTCATAAATACTGACAAATGACATTTAATTTTTTTACATGTCAACATTTATTCAAATTTTTAAGCATTGATTTTTAATTAGATTTAAAACTATAAACAGCGATTTTGAATATAGCATTTCATCAAATTTGGATTTAAATGTTGGATATTTCTATATATGTACATGTTTTTGAATTTTATTTTTTGAAATGTTAAATTTTTTTTTCAAAAATTATATATCGAAATTACCTTAAATTTTGACATTTGTCATTTTAGTGTTTTGTTTTTTTTATGGTCATTTTCTGTCAAAATTTTTAGAAATGTATAAAAATTATATATTTATATTTCAAATTTACTTTTCAAAATTTCCTATAACCTAAGTTGGATATATATGCACACGATGATCCAATAAAATTTAAAATCGGTCCAGTAGTTTGGGCGTCCATCGCGAACCAACATCGTGATACGAGATTTATATATATATGTGTATATATATATATATATATATATATATATATATATATATATGTATCCATTACAGTCAGTGGGTCTCCGACAAACGGCACCGATCGCGTTGCATGCCCCACATCAAGACCTATTGCAGAGTCGCCGGTTCGGCTTTGGCTGAAAAACCAGAAGGTTTGCGCTGGTTTCTGCTGACATCAGCCAATATGTCTAAAAACGCCTGGGGATCGATGCCCTATTACAGAAAGAACACTTTTCAAATCGGCTCTTACGAAATAGGGGTGCTGTTCTTACCTAAATTCGTGGTAAGTGGTAATAAATACATACATATATATATATATATATATATATATATATATATATATATATACAGGGTCGGTCCTGCCTTGCATGCGATGCATGCAAAAAATGCGGGCGCGCGCCTTAGGGGGCGCCAAAACGTGATTCGGAAATAGAATTTATAATATATTATTCACATTTTTTTTAATATAAAATTTAGAATACATACTTAATAGATTATAATAAACAATCTAACTTAATGGATACGTAGACACAAAAACCATATTCAGATTGCAATGTGATATCAGTACAAACAATTCATAACTCTGCAAATTAGTAAATTATTGTTCTGCTTATTGTTTAATGTACTTATTAATTTTTTTTTCGATTGAAGTTAATATGGAATCGAAAAAGAAATTATCTAGTGTTCAATACCGTAAGCGCACACCTACGAAAATTTAAATTATTGGGCATTATTGACGAAAAACTACGAGTTGATTTAGTTTGAACGGAACTTGTTAAAAAAATAGATACAAATTATAATATAAAAACATGGAAAATTGGCAGTCGGACAGTGCATAGAAAATGGCTTATTAAATTAAGTCCGAGAAATTGAATTGTAACTTTTGCTTTTGTTGTAAATGTTTTGCATCTGATGAAATTGGACGTTGAAGACATACGTGGTTAGATTCATGGAAATGGAGCAAATATGAAAAATGGAAGCAAAATGTACTAGAAACAAAAATCTTGAGGTTTCTTTATACCTATTGGTGTTCATACTAATTTTAATTATTAACTAAGCAGAAATAATACACATACAAATATAATTGTGTTTTGTTTTCAATATAGTTAAGGAAATGTGTAATTTCTTTGCATCTTTTAATAAAATACGTTAAAAATTTAACTTTAAGGCAACAATCTGATATTCTGAATTAGATGGGAAAGTAAATATAAATTTGGTCCTTACGAAAACAATAAGAAGTTTACGATACAATTTTGGATATTGTAAATAATGAAAAAAAAAATTAAAATAAAATTTAATAAATCCAACATGAAAAACAGTGTTCTATTTAAAAATGAAATAAGTAAAATGTTTCAAAATCCAAATATTAATATTACACATATGTTAAAAATACTTGAAAATGTAAACTATTTGATTATGGTCAACCAGAAAATCGCTTCGATTTTCTAAAAAAAAATTAGAATCAATGTATTTTATAAGCTTTTAGATTATATTTAATTTTTTGTGTACTAAATCCAGAATGATTAACCCCTTCGACTCGGATAAATATTTATATAATTTTAATGATAAATGTTAAAACAGTTAAAATTATTGGGGGGGAGGGCGCTAGAACAAATCTTGCATGCGGGCGCTGAGGACCCCAGAACCGGCCCTGTATATATGTATATATATATATATATATATATATATATATAAATTTTTCATAACTACACGTTTCATCAATTTTTTATTTCACATTCATTTATTTTTTCGTGCAATTTTGTGTTTCTGTGTTGTTTTTCAAAATTTATTTGTATGCACTGAAGATGGGTCAAATCAGGACCCGAAACGTATGTTCCCTTAATAAAAACATTTTTCAATAAAACTGTTTTTAATTACTGGATGGATGCCCAAGAAACAATTTCATTATATTATTTCACCATCTGAAGAAAAACCTCTCGCTTATATATATATATATATATATATATATATATATATATATATTTATAATATATATATATATTTATATATATATATATATATATATATATATTTATATATATATATATTAGGTTGTCAAATATCTCCCTTCCGCATTTTTGCTCTTGGTTTATAATACAAAAAGGCGGAAGGGAGATATTTGACAACCTTATATATATATAATTATTATTATCTATTTTTAGCTCGGTACAGATCTGTTACCTCTAACAGATTCTAAAGAAGGGCCAGCATTTCCTATGCCTTACGATTTGCCTTTGGTTCCTTATGGTGATTCGGACCAGATGTTCTTTACTGATATTGAACGTCCACTTGCACAACAATTTCAAGAAAATGACAGAATCGAAAATGGACATTGAGAAAAAAAATGTATGTGAGGGTAGATATCGTCCTTAGAATTTTAATATAAGGTTTTATGATTAAGTAAGTGTGTGAGAATTTTATAATTGGAATCAAAGCTTTATGACTGTTTATTACTACTTAAAAATTAGCTTGACGTTGAGTTCTGGGACATCCTGGACAATTATTTGTTGGTATTTTTTTTTTAAATTTCCGAAGGAGAAGTTTATGTTTTCGCTAAAAAATTCGATTTGCTAATTTTGTGTTTTCTCAACGTTTTGAGTCAATCTGAATCGAATGAGACACAAATTTGAAAAAAAGGGTGTGCGTGTGTTTTTTTTTACCTTTCGTCGGCGTTTTCTCAAAAACGGCTAAACCGATTTCAAAAATTTAAAAGCCATTCGATGTATCTCGCTATGGACTAGAGTTTGTCAATTTTGTGCGTCGATCGGCTGAGCCGTTTCTTTGCAAATAACAGAAAAGTGAAATAATTTCGTACATGTTTTAACCAGTAATTCTGAATCGATTTTAAAAATTCAAAAACCGTTCGAAAGATATTCGTTGGGATTTGGGCTGATTAGTTTTTGGTAAAGATACACCGGACCGTTTCTTTGTAATTCCTTCTTATTTTTTTTTTTTAATAACATACTAAAATATTATAGGCCTATGATAAGCGGTTAGCGAATTCAAGCGATTATATCAAAACAGGGTTCACGAGAGTTGTTACAAAAACCGAAGAGTGCAACGAAAATAGAACATTCTTTTGTAATAATACAAAATTTAAAAACAACTATAATTTATCTCCAGAACATTAACAATCGTTATTTCATTTCGAATTCAATTTCAAAAAATAGTTGCCTAATTTACACAAAATTGAAAAAGTGCTCCAGTATAGTCACAGTCTAAACCCATTTGCAAATAATTCTGTGCGCCATTTTCACTTATACTGTGCTTAGCTTGGCGGCATTTTCACATTTTTCAATAGTTTTCACAAAATTGGAAAAGAGTCTAAACGCACTTGGGTAAACATTTGTACCAGAGTGGCGCTTAGACTGTGCTTAGCCTGGGAAATTTTTTGAATTTTTAATCCAAAATTACGAAAATATTTTATGGAAAATTAAAAAAGATGTAATAAGTTTTTATCCTCAAAAGCAATTGTTTTGTCAATACAAGCAGAAAATTTTTTAGATCATTCAAATCGGACGCTTAGTTTTCTCAAAAACTGCATTTTTTTGCACATTTAGCCATGTGTCTCCGAAATGGCTGCACCTGCCTTTGCCAAAAACTAATAACCACTTCTCCCAATCATTACAAATTAAATGTTTTTTAGATTATTCAAATCCGATACTGCGTTCTCTCAAAAACATAATTTTTATTTTCTGCACTCTTTGCTCCGTATCTCCGAAACGGCTTGACCTGTCTTTGCCCAAAACTAATCAGCACATCTCCCTATCAATAGGGATCGAATGTTTTTTGAATCATTCAAATCGGTTGATCGATACTACCGAAAACGTAGACGGAAAATTAAAAAAGTTTAATAAAAGTAAAATTGTGTCCACCACACATGCTTCGATTTTTGCTTAGGTATGTTCAGAAACTTCAGAACGTTAAGAAATGCAAAAATTTTCGATTTTTGGCCCATTACTATAACTTACCCTACGGGAAGTTAAAAAAACAAGTATAAAGGGATTCACAAAAGGGTTGAAATATTATGACGTGCTTGATTGAAACATCAATTGTGTTAAAATTATCATAATTTAAGCAATGCATTTTAATATATATTGTGATTGCATTATATAGTTAGATTAAAA